CTGTTGAACCAACCTGTTGAACCAACCTGTTGAAGCAACCTGTTGAACCAATCTGTTGAACCAACCTGTTGAAGCAACCTGTTGAAGCAATCTGTTGAAGCAACCTGTTGAAGCAATCTGTTGAACCAACCTGTTGAAGCAATCTGTTGAACCAACCTGTTGAAGCAACCTGTTCCCCCGCTCGCCTGTGGGGGCGCTGCACCAAGAACTACTGAAAGAAACGACACAAAAACCTCTGAAGACACGTCTTCTTCTGCTGTAAATAAAAATAAAAACGAAGTGGCATCAAGTTTTATCAGTTTTAGGAGTTATATTTAGTCATTTTTCAACAATGGACTCAGCATGAGCAGAAGATGAGACAGAAGACCATGGAGAATATTAAGTTTGTTTTCTCAGTCATCCAGGTATATAACAACAAAAAAGGTTGAATCATGTCATCTGGACTTCGTTTTTTGTTAAAAAGAAACGTTTCTTTGGTGAAAAAGCCTCTTGGATGAGGGGCGAAACGTTTCTTTTTAACAAAAAACGAAGTCCAGATGACATGATTCAACCTTTTTTGTCATGGAGAATATTGTTTTCCACACAAGTCAGCTGACGGCTCCATATAAGAGAAATGTGTGTTTGTTTGTCCTGTGGAGCGGGCCCGGTCTGTTTACATTCACACTGTACTTGTCAGGATTTGGTGGTCAGGAACGAACCCAGTAGTGCAGACAGGACTCAACTCGGCAGATTACAAAAATAAGTATTTTAATAGAAAATAAAGAACAAAATAATAGCTGACGTGGCAGCAAGACACATGAAAACGGATGGCTCAAACGGAAACTCAGGGAGGACTCAGGAAACTCAGGGAAGACTCAGAAGACGCAGGAGAACACAGGAGACCCAACGAATACGACCCGACGAGGAACAACACAGAACAGACAGCTTTTATACAAGGACAAGACAAGACGTGATTACAAACAGCTGTGACGAGACAAGGGTGACACCAATTAAACTGAAGAGAAGACACAAGGGAAACACAGACACAAACAGAGCCAATAAATAGTACCATCCTTACAGTACTGGAACCACTGGAGTTCTCTTCTACCGGACCCAGACCTAGGTTTTAGCCCGGGTCAGAGTTCACCTTTTTGTTCCGTGACGGAGTTCGATGGCACGTTCACACCTCCCTAAAGGAACCGGACTTTCTAGAAAAACGAGCTAGAGTTGGATTAAAGCGACTAAACAGAGCTGCTGTGAATGCATCCTTAGACTACTACAGGACAAACTGACCTCATGTCCTTAAATGAATTGTTAAAACTGAATATTTTTCATTTGATACTATTTCTATCTTAACATGTGATTCTTGACCTGCCATTGTGTATCTGTTCCTCCTTCTTGCTCTTCTGAAACCCCTTGAACTCCACTCACCCAGCACACACACTTTTTGCCCCGCTCCCCTCAGGAAGGAGGTTGAGGAGCATTAAGTGTAGAACCACTAGACTGAGGAACAGCTTCTACCCTGAGGCTGTTAGACTCATGAATTGCATCTTGTTATTTTTATTTGATGCTGTGATCTTTTTGTTAAGCACTTTGGTAACAGTTCCTGTGTGCTCTATAAATGAATTTGACTTGACTTGTCATATGATGTTCAAAGTGTGTTAGTCTGGTGGTGGCCTGGGGTGGTATCAAACTCACGGCCTGGATTGTTGTCTCAGTCTGCCCCTGCTCACCGTGATGGAGCAGGTGAGGGAGGTGTTGGCAGCAGAACCAGATGGTATCAGTGGACGAGTGCTGATCAGCTGCACCGGTGTTCACGGTAATATTCAACCGATCCCCTCCTGCTTTAAAACGTCTGTTCTGCCCCGATCCCCAAGAAAACGATTAGCGCCCTGAGGTGACCTCAGCAACCCTTACCCTCAACACCAGGTCCCTACAAGGGTGAGCCCTCTGCTGCACTCTGTAAGAGCATCACTGCCTGCAGCTCCTCGTCCAAGATGGCCGCTAATTACCACCAGCTGTCGGCCATCAACCTGATGAGGATCATCCACTACTACCCGGAGAAAACCCACACAAGCACGAGAAGAACATGCAAAGTCCACACAGAAAGACCCCATGTCCAACAGGGGATTAAACCCAGGACCTTCTTGCTGTGAGGCAGCAGTGCTAACCACTGAGCCATTGTGCTGCTAACACTAGCTTGAATTTACAGCTATGGAAAGATGAAAGAGAAAAAACATCAGAGTCAGAGAGATTGATTGATGAACTAAGACAAACAACTAAAAATACACTAAGCAATAACAGCATAAACACATTACATCGAACAGCAGCACGAACATGAGTCTGTGTGAGCAGAGGAGCACGAATGAGCACAGCAACATGAAACAGATCAGCAGCGACATGAAACAGATCAGCAGCGACATGAAACAGATCAGCAGCGACATGAAACAGATAAGCAGCAACATTAAACAGATCAGCAGCTACATGAAACAGAATCAGCAGCGACATGAAACAGATCAGAAGCAACATGAAACAGATCAGCAGCAACATGAAACAGATCAGCAGCTACATGAAACAGATCAGCAGCAACATGAAACAGATCAGCAGCAACATGAAACAGATCAGCAGCTACATGAAACAGATCAGCAGCAACATGAAACAGATCAGCAGCTACATGAAACAGATCAGCAGCTACATGAAACAGATCAGCAGCAACATGAAACAGATTGGCAGCTACATGAAACAGATCAGCAGCAACATGAAACAGATCAGCAGCAACATGAAACAGATCAGCAGCAACAGGAAACAGATCAGCAGCTACATGAAACAGATCAGCAGCAACATGAAACAGATCAGCAGCAACATGAAACAGATCGGCAGCTACATGAAACAGATCAGCAGAGTATTCATTATTAAATGTGGTCATGAATTGCTTTTGTATTCGATACAACTTAAGCACTAAATACTTGACTTATGGCTGAATATTAACAAAAGATTAACGTTACTCCATAAAATCTCAGGATAACAGGATGTTATTATTGTTATGATTAAACCGTAGTTTGTAATATCAGGATGTTATTGTTAGAATTCTGCTTTAATTTTACATAAATATTGAAGAGTTTATTAGTTTAAGATTTTTTTTGTAGCAAAACATAAATTGCTAGTGTTTATTCCTGAACCTGTTATTATGGAATCATGTTGTTTATTTGTTTTCATGTTATTATTCATTTCAGTCTAATAACAGAATTTGTACATAACTTTATATTTTTGTCTGTATAAATAAATACTAAATGTTCTGATCAGTTAATTACTAGTTACAAGGAGGAGCGTGTTTATTACAACATGCTTAAAGTCTGAAGATCTTTGTGACACCAAGGTGATTATTAATTATTAATTAATTATTAATTATTTAGTGTCATAGAATCAATAAGAAAGTCTTTGACTTCAAATTTCTGTTTGGGATCAATAAATGATTTGAAGCAGATTAAAACTATGAGTCAGTGGATTTCTGTTCATCTGTCAGAGCACGGGAGAGGAGGAGAGAGGAGGAGGAGGAGAGAGGAAGAGAGGAGAGAGGAGGAGGAGAGAGGAGAGAGGAGGAGGAGGAGAGAGGAAGAGAGGAATAGCAGGAGG